GCAGAACCAGGGCTCAAGGAGGAGTGGCTATCTGCTATGACCACTTGGAGGTGAGAGAAGAGAGACAGAACAAAACCGATGCTGTGGAAGAGAACCAGAGGTTAATAATAACTAATAAATGAATGCAGAGAGGATTGTAAACACATAGTGGGTGAGAAAGGTAGTGAAGAAGAAACACTTCTGCATTAAGGAAAAGCTCCTGGTAGCCTACAGCTATTGCAGTGTAACTAAGAGAGGATTCAGGGTCATCTGATCCAGCTCTGACTATATGTTTTATCAAAAAGGAAGCTGGTTCCACAGCAGAGCGGCCTAAAAGCTGAAGGCTCCGCCTCCCATTCTTCTTTTAAATGTCATAGGAATAGAGGGAGCAACAGTAATAGTGATCCAGAAGTCTGAGAGCAGTCTGTGCTCTGTTGGGGTGATATTGTGGTACTATGAGGTCTTTAAGATAAGATGGGCACTTCTCCTCATTTACAATGAGAAGTGTTTTTCGAAAGCTCAAATATGTCAAAACAGGCATCATTAAATTGAACAGCTAGCTAATTAAGGTGTAAGAGTGTTTGAAATGTAATAACAAAGAGCCCAAAATATATATGTATAATACATGTATAATGTAAAGCTGTTTTCAGAGTCAAATCTGGAAGACAGAATTTGTTTCATAATGATATCCCATTACTATCTGTCCAGCATAGTCACTCAGTTCAGGGAGAAAAAGCTGAGTCACTCACAGGTCTTTTGCCTTTTCAATCCAATTAGCTAATTTCATGTTCTATATTATAATATGTTAAAATGATCAAGGCTCTTTAGGAACATGATTCAAACGTGACCACATGTTGGCTGTTAACTTACCGTTGGTCACTAGTTAGGTTTTGTTCTAGAAAGAGTAAGAGAAATCTTAATCTAAGTTGCAAAGTGGTGGCACCAAAAATCACGAATCAGGCTAACTGAAGATATTTTTGTCTGTGTGGCTACACGGTGTGCTCACACTTTAACTGTGAGTCTGGTCATATTTGGCTCAAAGCTTGTGTGAAACCTAACAGAGAGCTTTAACCTGTGTCTTGCAGACTCTGGCAGTAAGCAGGACACTGTGAAGTTTGTTCAGGACACTTCCAAGTTCTGGTACAAGCCCGACATTTCCAGAGACCAAGGTAAATATTGGTCTTGGACCACAGTGGTTAATGGCCACTTGTGAGAAGATAATACACCCTCGTGCAAAGGTTTCCTCTATGTACAATGCAGACTGAGTCTAACTTTAGCTTATCTCTGCTTCCTCCTTCTGTTGACCTACTGAACAGCCATCGCGGTGCTGAAGGACAAAGAGCCGGGTTCGTTCATTGTCAGAGACAGCCATTCATTTCGTGGCGCATACGGTTTGGCCATGAAGGTGGCTACACCTCCTCCAACAGTGATACAGAGCAAAAAAGGTGGGTTGAATGCCATGTTCTGCATATACAAACTTTCTGTGAGCTGCCAAGAGAGCACTGCAAAAATGATATTTAAAGGTGCAAACCTCAGCACTGTGAGTCAGCTAAATGGGAGTGTGCTTCCTAGTATGTTGGACTTTTATCACTATTTTAATTTACAGTTCATGTTAATTAAATATTAACCTTTGATGTAATTTATAGATATGAATAAACTAAGCCATGAGGCCATGTTTTGCAGGAGGAGATCTGTCTAATGAGCTGGTGAGACACTTCCTGATAGAGTGCACACAGAAAGGTGTTCAGCTTAAAGGATGCCCCAATGAGCCTTACTTTGGTGAGAAAATTTCACACGCTATGATCCAGATTAAATACCCAAGTAAAACATAACAGCCTTGACCTGATCAAAGTCTAACGACAGCTAGGAGAGCAGCATGCTTCCTCATAGCTGTTTAAAGTCCATCCCAGGTCATAACAGACAAGCACCATGCTGCCCCCTACTGGTCATAACACTGGAGTGCAGCTGACTCATCTCAATAGTCATACGCATGATGATTTTTGTTGACAGGAAGTCTCACAGCGCTGGTGTGTCAACACTCCATCACGCCACTGGCTCTGCCCTGTAAACTCATCCTGCCTGACAAAGGTAACGAAATATAAATTTATATCACAGAATGGGAACACAAGTGGAGCAGGGAATCGATTAACTCAGTCAGTTAAGCACAGGATATTACAAAAGGGGCACTGCAATGAAGATGCTTTAAATACAGTACTGTGCAAAACTCCCTGACCGTTTTCAGAGCAAGTTTTTTCTATCATAAAAAGTCACTGCTCTTCCTAAATGTTTTCATTCTTTGTTTGACATCTGTATATGAAAAAGGACTTCACAAAACAGTGCAGTAAATACCTAAATACATTTCCAAATGGAGTGTAGCACAAAGAAAAATGCTTTGATACATTTTGCTGAAGAACTCATGGGCCATATCTCACGCTATTGCATTTCTCTCCACACTTTGCTTGGATGGAGCTGAATCTGCTGATATAGGCTTACATTTATTTCCATCTACAGTGGAGCAAAAAAGTATTTAGTCAGCCACCGATTGTGCAAGTTCCCCCACCTAAAATGATGACAGAGGTCAGTAATTTGCACCAGAGGTACACTTCAACTGTGGGAGACAGAATGTGAAAAAAAAATCCATGAATTCACATGGTAGGATTTGTAAAGAATTTATTCGTAAATCAGGGTGGAAAATAAGTATTTGGTCACCTCAAACAAGGAAAATCTCTGGCTCTCACAGACCTGTAACGTCTTCTGTAAGAAGCTTTTCTGTCCCCCACTCGTTACCTGTATGAATGGCACCTGTTTGAACTCATCATCTGTATAAAAGACACCTGTCCACAGCCTCAAACAGTCAGACTCCAAACTCCGCCATGGCCAAGACCAAAGAGCTTTCGAAGGACACCAGGAAAAGTATTGTAGACCTGCACCAGACTGGGAAGAGTGAATCTACAATAGGCAAGCAGCTTGGTGTGAAAAAATCAACTGTGGGAGCAATCATCAGAAAATGGAAGACATACAAGACCACTGATAATCTCCCTCGATCTGGGGCTCCACGCAAGATCTCATCCCGTGGGGTCAAAATGATCATGAGAACGGTGAGCAAAGATCCCAGAACCACACGGGGGGACCTGGTGAATGACCTGCAGAGAGCTGGGACCAAAGTAACAAAGGTCACCATCAGTAACACACTACAACGGCAGGGAATCAAATCCCGCAGTGCCAGACGTGTTCCGCTGCTGAAGCCAGTGCATGTCCAGGCCCATCTGAAGTTTGCCAGAGAGCACATGGATGATACAGCAGAGGATTGGGAGAATGTCATGTGGTCAGATGAAACCAAAGTAGAACTTTTTGGTATAAACTCAACTCGTCGTGTTTGGAGGAAGAAGAATACTGAGTTGCATCCCAAGAACACCATACCTACTGTGAAGCATGGGGGTGGAAACATCATGCTATGGGGCTGTTTTTCTGCCAAGGGGACAGGACGACTGATCCGTGTTAAGGACAGAATGAATGGGGCCATGTATCGTGAGATTTTGAGCCAAAACCTCCTTCCATCAGTGAGAACTTTGAAGATGAAACGAGGCTGGGTCTTCCAACATGACAATGATCCAAAACACACCGCCCGGGCAACAAAGGAGTGGCTCCGTAAGAAGCATTTGAAAGTCCTGGAGTGGCCTAGCCAGTCTCCAGACCTCAACCCCATAGAAAATCTGTGGCGGGAGTTGAAAGTCCGTGTTGCTCGGCGACAGCCCCAAAACATCACTGCTCTCGAGAAGATCTGCATGGAGGAATGGGCCAAAATACCAGCTACTGTGTGTGCAAACCTGGTAAAGACCTATAGTAAACGTTTGACCTCTGTTATTGCCAACAAAGGTTATGTTACAAAGTATTGAGTTGTATTTTTGTTATTGACCAAATACTTATTTTCCACCCTGATTTACGAATAAATTCTTTACAAATCCTACCATGTGGATTCATGGATTTTTTTTCACATTCTGTCTCTCACAGTTGAAGTGTACCTCTGGTGCAAATTACTGACCTCTGTCATCATTTTAGGTGGGGGAACTTGCACAATCGGTGGCTGACTAAATACTTTTTTGCCCCACTGTATATTTTCTTATATATTCATTTTGTTTACTTTTTCCAAAATATGCAAGACAAATGTTTTCAAATTAGTTCCTGGTCTTTGAAAGTCACTCGGATTTCCAAATCATTTTATCTGGAACATGCTTGTCATAGTTATGAGGAACTGAATTTTATGAGTAGATTTTACGTCGTTTGCAAACAGCAAGACTTTCCAAAAGGAAAACGACAACCAATTGTTGTTTTCCTTTTTTGCATATTTTTGTACAGTTATGGTTACAGATTCTCCCAGCGTGTCAGTACGCTTGTATTTTTAGGGATTCATTTACACCAAACCTACCCTGAATCAACTCCATCAGTCAAGGCTGACTGTGGCCCAAAGAAAACTGGATGGGCCATAATTGGGCTAAAGAATGTTGCCATGTACAGTCTTTGTATGCTCTTTCCAACGTCTCGACATGTGACTACGATATATTCAAAAAGCCCAAGCTGAGAAAAATACTTCAGTTAGATGGTTTATCCCCACACTTCTGAATATTCACAAACTTTTACACTACTATGTACTAGAGATGAAGCAGGAGTTACGTACCTCGTGTCTGCTTGGTTACAAATGCAGTTTGTTTTGTTAACGCACTGGTGTAATTTGTGAGTTTTTCCAAGAGAGCTCATCACTATCTTGTGTTTGCAGATCCACTAGAGGAGCTGAATGACTCCTCTACACAGACGGCAACGAACTCAGCAGCTGAGCTTCTCAAACAAGGAGCAGGTATGACATTTTAAATTAATCTGTGCACACAGAATATTCATTTATTATCAGCAGAAGCTTGTCAGACTTGTTCTTTCTTTGTGCCGTTGTAGCGTGCAATGTGTGGTACCTGGGCTCCGTAGAGCTGGAATCTCTCACGGGACACCAGGCGGTCCAGAAGGCGACCACAGTCACGCTCTCCATGGATCCGCCACCTCCCTCCACTGTCGTACATTTCAAAGTTTCAGCGCAGGGAATCACACTCACTGACAACCAGCGGAAGTGAGCATTTTTTGCACCTGCAGGCCAAACATACACAAACACACACCGATAAGAAATCTGATGTGTTCACACAGACTCTTTGTTTGACTCTGCAGGTTGTTCTTCAGGAGACACTACGCTGTCAACACTGTCATATTCTGCTCTCTGGACCCGCAGGGCAGGAAGTGAGTACTGGACACGGATAACAAAAATGCAGCTTTGCACACACTTCAAGGCATCTGTGTAACAAAACAAAGAGGGGTTTCTCCAGGTTCAGTCTGTACTCATGAAGTAGGCATCTGATACTTACAGGACTATGGCTGAAACATGGCTTTCAAACTGTGAAACAAAAGCTTCTTGGGTCACTGTTAACATCCCTTCATGACCCACTTTAAAGGCATTGTGTGAGAAACATAGGATGCTAACTGCTACTAAAGACAACATGAACAGAAAGTGTGCTTTGGAATAACACAACTAGTATAATTCCGCCATGGTAGCAGCATGGATATCAGTGCATATCCACATATGCATTTCCATAAACTGCATATATAAGATGGATATAACTTCCAAGTCGAAAATGTCTCTCAAAATGATTGAAGAAAAATACGATTTGTTATTTAATTCAGTAAGCCTAATAGTCCAACGTTACTGCTGGGTGCGGATGGATGCATGGGAAGAATGTGTATTTTCCAAAACAGGAAACAAATTTTTAAGAATTCACAGAGTTTAAAGAATCGAAACAGACTCTGGCCAATGTTTACAGGAAAATGAGTACAAAAAAGTGAACAGGTTATATTACTGAAGAATGGGAGACGTTTCATGGAAAAGTGGTGAAAAACACATCCTCAGTTTGTACCTAAAATGTCCTTTTTCGCATCAATGAGACTTTCATTTCATTCATCAGGGTTACCTTATCTAAACTCAACTCACTGAACATATTGTGTCGAAAACTGACACAAGTGTCATGATTTTAATTTCTTCTGTCCCAAACAGGTGGACACGAGACAGCGGCTCCACTGCAAAGTAAGTCAGCTTTAGAAAGGGTCTTCTCGTGCATGTTGTCAGTTAATCAGAGTGTGCATCATGGTTAGAAAAATCATATGAATTTCTTTTGTAAATGTACTAAAGCTGATTAAACTGTAGAGCTGGTTCTATATCAATATTAATATCAATCAATATCAGTGGTACTCATTTTGAAAATCCAGTTGTTTTGTTTAATCTTTGAACTATTGCTAAAAATGTCAAACAAATGGAGTCTTACTGTACTTTGGTGAGGACCACAGCTCGTTTCCATCTAATCCATGTTTGGCGTTAAGTCTCTGTTCTGAGAGGTGAAAAGTTTCCCTGCTGTTGTGTAAATTTCTCTTGTGTGTCTCTCTCGTTTTCTTCCAGGATCTTTGGATTTGTTGCCAGAAAATCTCAGAGTGAGACTGAAAACGTGTGCCATCTGTTTGCTGAGCACGACCCTGAGCAGCCTGCGAGCGCCATTGTCAACTTTGTCTCGAAGGTCATGATCGGGTCGCACAAGAAGTAGCGAGAAAGAGACTTGAGCAGTGGAGTAAAGAACTTGGACTTATAGGAATCCTGCCCAAAAGTCATATAAATATGAAAAACTTTGAACCCTTACACTCCAGCGCTTTCAGCTCCTATTCCTACCTGCGGAGTACATTTGTCTTTTGCACTGCAGGATGCTAGCACCAGAGGGAGCCAAAAGTATGAAAGTCAGTTCACATTTTGGCTATTTTCTTGAAATTTTATTTTGAAACTTATTCTAAACACACTTATGACATTGATCTTGCTTGTGGCAGACAGTGAAAACTGCCCATTGTAACACACTTATTTCAAATCAAGGAATATTAGATAGTCCACACACAAACACATATTTCTAAACACAATTTCAATTCTGATTTTTCTGTGTTTTACTTGTAAAAAGAGTCAAAACAGGTTTCATCATCAGCTTTTGTAAACTAATTGTTATGTTCAGTGAAACCAACAATATTTTAGCATGACAGGCAATATTTTGGTTTCCCTGTACTTAAGATGAATCATTTATGTCATGTTTATGTATTGGTTGAGATATTTATCCATTTTAAAGATGTGTCATTGTCTTTATTTTCCCAAAATATATTTGTCATATATTTTTTGTATATTAACACATATTGTACATTAGCATTAAAGGAAGTGAACTTAAGAATTTATGGAGTTTTCTTGCAAATTGTGGAAAAATACTTTGTAATGTTTTACACAGTGAGCTATTACATATACAGTTGTTCATGTGTCTTTTATTGATCCAGTTTGTGTGCAGTTATTATGCCCTAAATTTTCTTTTTGGATCTTTTGATGAATGTCGATGAATCTCTGATGTATTGTTACTGTTTCCATGTTACAAAATGGTTTTTTCCATTCAATTACTGGAGCATGTCAAAGATTAACTTTTGTTTGTTTCTGTCGCTCTGATGTAAAGCCAAAAATCGAGTGTACCGTTTCAGTCCACCGCAGCTTAACAGTTTGATCCTGAGAGCAGACACGTGTCCCTTGACAGTTTTATCTGCCCATTCAAACTCTGCCCAATCAGACATGCAGAGCTACCTGGTGTAGTGACCCCTTATGATTAAGCAAGCTGAAAGTAACTTCAGATCAACTGATCTCAATGTCATCACATTGGCTCACTCATTTAGGTCACAGTATTTAAGCTCCTGTAGCCTGTCTACATTTATGTATCTGCAAGCCGTTTTGCAACCCACCTTCCCCTCAGATCCTTCTTTCTAGCTCCATCTGAGTTAATCACTGTCATCCCTGTGCTGGTTTCCTCATGAGAGAAGTCTTAGATCAGAGCCATACTGCAAAATTATAATCACTGCAGGTGGAGGTGATTTAAATGGGGACTGGAAACTGGAGAAGGTGGAGTGGTAAATTGACTGATTCTTACACACTGCTTTTGTACTCCTGAGCACTCAAAGCGCTTTATTTATAGAACTTGCCTCATTCACACCAGCACTTGTTTCTGTGCTTTTTCTATCTAACATTCACACTGTGATGGATGCATCAGGGAGCAGCTTGGGGTTAGTATCGTGCCCAAGGATATTTGTCATGCAGACCGGAGCAGGAAGGATTTGAACCAACCTTCAAATTAGCAGATGACCTTTTCTACCTTCTGAGCTACAGCTGCCCGAGTCTGGATGAGTGTCAGAAATGTATAAAAGAATGGAAATGCCATTCTTCTTTAACTATATTGTTATTGACTAAAATTTCTTTTCTTTTTTTTTCTTTTTTAGCAAAAACTAGTTAACTGTGATTATTATTTTGAAGTTCCTTTCAAAATTAATTCCATGTCCTTCCTTTTCTGAATTTTACAATATGATAAAATCCCACAAGAGCTTCCTCTTCCTCTCATTCTTAGGAGCAATAATAATGTTCCCTCTTCTTGGTTTAATCAAGTTTTAATTTGGTTTTTAACACTTTAAGAATGATTGAGTGACTGATCAGAAACAGTTGCGCAGTAAAAAACTATTAAATAAGGTGATTTAAATGCCATTCACTATTTATTAATATTTCTACTAAGCCTCCTTATGGATGAGTTGAGCGCATAGATGAATACATTTGACCGTTGTTATAAAAAAAGGAAGAGCAATTTTTCATTGATGTATGTAACCCGAATTAGTTTAATTTACTTATTTAACTAGAAAGAGTGTGTTTGGTGTATATAATGTGAAAAACAATGTTCAGTAATTTTGGGTGAGGATTTTAAAAACCATTGTGTAGTTTGCAGCATTGTCAACAGATGGTAGCAGTCAGTCGCCATATCTTATACTGAATCCAGAACTCTCAAGTATTGCTTAATTTTCTGATGTGTCTTGGTTTCGTTTTCCTGACTGCACTCGTTTTCATATTAGAATACTGCAGACCAAACTGAGCAGGTCCACAAATGCGTGAGGAACCACCCTCTTGAAAACCAGCCGATGCCAGTGTGTGTCCAAGCTTGCGTCTCAAGAGGATGAGGAGTATCTTTGGGACACTTGTCATAAAAGGGTGCTTTACATGCCTGTTAGGTCTCAGGGGGCCTCATAGATTGACTGATGTCTGTCTGTGTCTGTGTGTCGCGCCTTGCTTTAGGAGGCCAGATCATCAGATACCAGCTCTGAATCGGGCTCTATTCAAGTTCTTGCTCAGTGGGGAGTGCTGAGGAACTGGAAGTGGGACACGCTGCCGTCCTGGCTTGGAGGGACAGCATGGAGGGTGGGGGTGGGGGGTTGGGGTAGTTATGGTGTGTGTGTGTGTGTGTGTGTGTGTCTGTGCTTGTGTGTGTGTGTGTGTGTGTGTGTGTGTGTGTGTGTGTGTGTGTGTGTGTTGGGGTGGGGGTAGTTGCTGGTGGTGGATGACCTCACCATTACGGGAAACTTTCCCACAGCCTGAACACAAAGAAGGCCGTCAAAAGGTAAAAAGGATGAGAAAGAATAGAAATTTAACACAGTGTGTAAAAAAGGAGGCTGTGTCGAAGGGGGACTCGTGTTCCCTTTTCAGCAATTCAGAGATTTGGAGGCTTGATAGAGGCTCTGCTTTCACTCTGACAGGCCTGACATAGACTCCGCTCACAGCAGCGACCCTCAACCCGGCTCTCATTCCCTCTTTGCTGAGTCACCTGCCGCCATTTTGTTTCCCAGCTGGACATCTTCTTACACTTCCTGTTGCACTTCCTGTCAGACAGCCCGCCGGCACCTGGTCGCACGGTGGTTTTCACAGTAGCCACCGCCGCCGCCGCCGCCGCTACTGGACGACACCACATTCCTGGCATTGCTCGCCCCGAATGGTGTTTGGAAATCCAAAGACCAGCTTCCGTTGGGGAATGCCACCCTCACAGAGTCCCTCTCAGCCTCTGATCCCCAGCCTCGTCTCACTTTATTTGAGTTAGCTATTTAAAGCCCATGCTAAGTGTGCTGCTGGCTGCACAGGGAAGCAAACACACGCTCCATCTCGCACGGTAAAACCACACCACAAATAATCCCTCTCCTATTTTTATTTTGAGCAGGGCTGAAGGGAT